GTCTGAAACCGGTGGTGAAGGTGATTTTGCCTCATTAACTCCACTCGGGGCGACACATTCTGAGGCGATGTTGGAGGAGACGGGAAGACAGAATGGACGATATGAAGTGGGCTTGAGCGAAAGAGATGCAGCACTAGACAGTGGGACACAAAATGAGGTCAAAGAGTGATGCTAGAAGGGTTGAACAGAAAATTGGTCAAGCGGATTGCCTTCATTTGAAACGTTCATAAGTTGTAAATCTGTGCTCAGTGTTAGGGATTGTGCAACGTCGACGATTCGATACTGGAAATCGTCATGCTTACTCGGGCACAGAGGATGCAGAACTTGGTTCCTTCCATAAGCTTTCCTTGTCGCTCCGACCGAGTTAAGAAAACGAGGTCATATCAACACTTTGATTCGCTTAATGTACCTAAGTTGATCATCATCATAGTCCCTTTGCTTGTCTACCTCAAGTTACTGTCCGCTTTGATATGAGCGAATTTCATACTCTTTCGTTTAGGGGAGGAAGGATTGATGTTTGGATTTTCTAACTTTCACTGTATTATGTCTTATTTTTCCCATGGATTTTACATATTCTTGCTTCCCAAATAGTAAACTCATCTCGATCGAGCTGGAATACAGTTTTGACCTCGTCCGGATTGGTCTTATCACTTCCCCCAACGGGACTCGAACCCGACTTCCGATAGTGAGACTCATCGTTCCGACAGGTTTCCGACTATGCCAGACTGCCACGACTGCCCGTAGCTCACGGGGCCGTAGCGAATTTCAATGAAGGCCATGCATTTTCACTCGCACCTGCTGTTGTGTGATTCCCGATGGAGCCAAGAGATATTTGCTACTACAATCGATTATATTACTTATTTTCCGTTTATAAGTAGACTTTCGAGATATATTAAGCCCACAATGATGTGTCCATTAGCATAATCCCAATCTCCTTTCGATGCATAGATGTGGGCAAATCTCGTTTTCGCAACTTGATCGTGCTGTCAAGGCAAATTAGTTTTACGTACCATGTCCGAAGTTCTTTGCTTTTGTAGTTGACATATTCCCCAGCGTCTTGCCGGCATCAATGAGGCTTGTCATTCTCAGTACCAAGCTACTACACGTCAAAGAGTCTTCAATATTTCGAGATATCGTTTTCTTCTCTTTCCTACACCTCCTGCTCCGAGCTGATCGGTCCTGCCCGGCTCGTCTCCCTCGTCGGTTAGTCAAACTTGTGCATCCTTTTCCAAAATCGCCTGCACTCTGAGAGGATGGACGAGGCCCGACGATGCTGGCTCAAACTCTGTCGTTGCGACTTTTCTTCTCATCAGCCTTCGACAAGTCTCACTCACCTCCAAATCTGATCCAGTTGGCGTTTTCACTCTAGCTCCAAGCTGTCTAACTTCGGGCGATGATGATGGAGATTTCGTAAAAGTTATTGAATACATTACACGAATATACAGCATTTAAGATTGAGCCGGTTAGTTTTATTGACTCGTTGACTTGGATACGTTCATTGGGATAATAACCTCCCTGCTCTGAACATGTCCATGATTCGACAAATGAAAACTTAGCACGTTTTCACTGGACTGAAAGGAGATTATGAAATGTATTTACCCTATTTCGTCTAAGGTGATGAAGGACTGATAGTGGATATTTACTACTAAAATCGACTATATTACTTATTTTCCGTTTATAAGTAGACTTTCGAGATATATTCAGCCCATAATGGTGTGGCCACTAGTGTAATCCCAATCTCCTTACGATGTATAGATGTGGGCCAATCTCGTTCATATCATTGTGGGAAAATTCTTCTTCTACCAGTCATTCATCACCTTAGACGAATAGTGTGAATACATTTCATATTACTGATTTACTGGTAGTCTCAAAACTCTACTCAAATACGAAAATCGAAGGAGATTGCCTCTTTGAAGCAGCGTTAACGAAAATGTTCCATTCAAGTCGATCGACAGCCGGTCAAATTAAATCCGCCGTCGTCTTCTTGTGAGGCGGATCTTCAAATGTCTTCATCAAACACTTTCACTCAAAAGGAAATCAAGCTCTAACACGACGTTCAGATTGACGCAGTCGACACGAAATCCTCCCTCGTTTCGAGTGAAAATGGGCTGATGATGGATGTCCTCAGAATTGGGTCCCATTCTTGCAAAAGGCATACTTTGATAAAGTTGCTCATGTGAGGAAAGAAAGCCAAGCCCATCTCCGTCCGAGACGAGGGAGGAGGTATCGAAGACTGCGTCAAGCTGAAGCTCGTATTAAAGCCAAGCGGCTGCAATTCAACGAAACTCAGCCGTCGTCGTCCGGTGAGACCGACTTACGAATCTCGTAATCATCCACTTTCATAGGAGGTTAAAATTGTCATATTATTTATTGAAACCCGCATATTTTTTGTATATAAATCTCGTTTTCACGATGTACAAATAGTTTCGAATTTTTAGTCAAAACGAATAGAAACGTTCTTTCCTCATTGAAATGAGTAGTCCTCGCGATGACATTCTGTATCCTTCTCACCTAACGGCGGTTTTAACCTCGTCTAGACCTCGTCAGTACCCATTTGGGATTTGAAACCAGGTCATGTGAATCGTGGCACCGCGTAACACTTCGCTGCCCAGACACGGTAGGCAGCGAAAATGCGACTTTAGTGATATGCCAACTTTTATGGTGGGAATTACGATGAGGTAAACATGTATTTGACGTTTCATATCTTCTGAATGAGAATATCTTTAAGCTATCAGCAACTCTTGACTACAAACTTTGGTCGCTTGACGTAAGAAATGATGAGTCAATGAACAATTTAAGTTCTTATTGAACTGATGTATAATCTTTAGCCTGAATAAATATGCTAAAGACGAAGTTGTTTTTAATGTTGTGGTTCTCGCTCTCTTTTGCATAATCTAGGGCTGATTCTATGTCTTTCCATTCTCCGTACTAGTGCAACATTTTAGCAACCGTATTTATCATGCCCTTTCGCATCTGTCGTATTTCCTCATTCATCAACACCACATGTTGAGCCTACACAACATACCAATATTTCAAGAGTACATTCCAAATTATTCTATTTCCTAACAGCTTTATCTGAATCGAGTTAATGTCTACAAAAGTCTTCATGCAAAGTTTTAGTCTAACTGCAACCATTAATGAAATTTGGAGGTAAAATCGCTTACTACTGAAAAGAAATTAAGTAAGCTAATTTACATAGTTAATAATGAATCCGTTGAAGCCTTTTTCTAACAATCTCTAGGCTAAGCGAAATGTTTCAAACATTACTTGGCTTGATTAAACTATTTATTTACACAACCGGTTCTGGTAAAAGTTTCGGTATCTTCAACAAAAAATATTTAGTATGTGAATAACAAGAGTATACCTTAAAACTAATATAATCTTTACTTTTGTTTTGCACAAAATTCCAAAGTGCACCAAACAGTTTAGTGATGCTGCCCTACTTGAACACCGTCTGAGTGACCTGTTCGGTCATGTAATTTGATTTAAGAGCTAATCAAACGTTGAACTTTATCTAACTAGGATAGACTCTTCTCTTATTGTTGAGGCTTGGAGACACATTGCCTAGCAACGTGGAATATGATCTGACTCTTCATGGCATCCTAACTAGTAAAAGTAGTCTTAAAATTGCCTTAGGTTGTATTGGGACACGAGAGGCTCGGGTCAGACGAGGCAGCTGGAGGAGTGAACGTGAAAAAGGCCTCTGTTGTCCGCCATTTTCCGTTCAACTCAGGCTTCAGAAACGTAGAACAGCTCCGGTGGAAGCCTCCATGTTCCATGCACCCCCGAGCAGACTGAATAGAGCATACAACAAAAGTGGTGCCAGCCCCGTCCAGACGATGTGGGCGTGGGAGTAGCCGCATAAATAACTCCTTAATTGACTGCAGAAGCGATCAACTATTGCATCTGTCCAAAATCCCACACATCTTTTGCATTTACCTCCAACTGAGAAAGATCAGGCCTGGCGAGCATTAAGTTCTTTCGTCGGACAGCGACACGTCCCAAGGCCTGTGGCGCTGTGTTGCGGTTGAAACAGGCCTACCTCATGGCCTGTCTTGCGGTTTCGCTTTGCAGGGCGAGAGTATGAACGAGCGCTTGCACCGAAATCTCCCACTCCAACAAGCCGCCCTCAGCTTGTCATGTCTGCATGTAATGAGAACCAGCGGCCTGACGACAAGCACACCCACCTCCACATGCAGCAAGAGGTACAGCCGAGCTTGCACGCCAACACTGGGAAACACACATTTGCACATACTTGCCAGTATTTGCAATCACACCCAAAAACACACAGGCCAGCACACATCAATTAGTTGTTTTTTTGCATCGATAGCCGGAAGCAGGCTAATTGGAGGTGGTTGTCCGGCCTCGGGGCGTCGTCATGTCGACAAATGTACCGGTGGAATGGAGCAACGCGAAACTGGGATCTGATGAGGATCGGAGGCGAACGGAAGAGGCACTTCTCAGCCGACTATCGTTGCCAGGTCAGATGAATGCGACTGGAGTGTCCGCATGCGGTGTTAATGCGATGTTGCCGAAGCGATGGAGGGAATGCACTAAAAACAAGTGAAACTAAGGCAGTGAAGCCAAGCCATGATGACTGAGTCGCGATAGAACTTATTTTTCGTATATAAACAGAGTCCCGAGACTAACAGTAAATCAGTTATA